AGGAAGTTGGTAAAGACTTTTGAGCTTCCCCCTAAGGAAGAACTGATGCCAACGAGTGCCTCCTTGGAGTAGAAGCGTAAGGATTTGACTTCTCTTGAGGATAATGTCTCATCTTCCCTGCCTTTTGAGCCGTCCAATAACAAACACTCATCCAAAAGGGTCAAAATTTTAGAGGTGGTTTTTGCTCTTCCTTAGCCGACTTTTCCGAAAAGGAAAATGGGGGAAATGGATCTTCTCCAAACGATTGCTGCACAAGGGAGCGGGTTTGTTCACGATCCCGAGGCTGTTGTGGATGTTCTTGCTGAGCTGGTCCTAACTTTACATCCTGAGATGACCATGCAGGTCAAGCTTTAAAAAGAAAATCAAACACACCATCTAAGGTATAACTGAGGTACCACTCACTTTCACCTTCCTCACTGACATATTCTTCTTTGGATCCCTTTGCCTCTCGTTTGTATTGATTGGGTCTCTTTGTCAGCCTTTGGCACACGTGAAGATGATGGAGTTTCATCATGATTGGCTTATGACTCAATTGGCTGCGAAGGAGCACAAGTTAAAAAAGTGCACTGGACATCTCTGATACTGCTGAGACAGGAAAAGGCTTAGCTAAGGGGAAGGTCGTCATCTTGGTTGCCGAGGTGGCTAAACTGAAGAGAGCCTATTCCAACTAGGACACCTGTCATCAGGATTCTGCAAAGAAAAATGAGGTCGAGCTGAAGGCGAAAGACGAGGAGCTAAAGGCTAAGGATGCCGAGCTAAAATCCCTGAATGAGAGGGTTGTCGAGCTCCTCAAGGTAAATGCAATTGCCTTTGTGAAGAGTTTTATGAACTTTCAAGACCAAGTCAAGAAGGCATACCCCGACCTTGACCTGGGCTATTTTTAATACCACAAATTGAGGCACCAAAGCCTGCAGGTGCAGTCGAGGAAGCCGCTGTCGAGCATGCTGGAGGTGGTGAAGAGCTTACTGCCTAAACTTGGCCCTTGAATACTTTTGTTGTTTCTTCTCTGTATTGGTCCTTTTTGTAAAAACAAAGTTTAGCTTCCGAATCTGAAATTTCTGTGTACTTTCCCCTTATCCCTAATAAAAGCTTTGTATATTTCACCATTGGCTTTCGCTTGCTATTCCTTTCTTTCTTCTCTTTCTTTTCCTTTTTTTTTTGGCATCTATTTCCTCTTGCGAATGAGAAATGATGGGTAACTCAACTGATCTTAATTGGATTAAGCCTGCTCCTTGCCCGCGGTGTCATCCTAAGCTGTTAGTTTAACTAAGTGATTTTACATAAAGCTATTCAGTCCCTCGCCAAAATCGAGTTGATTAATTTTGCTTGAGTTGCATTGGCCTTTATTGGGGATATTTCTCGAATGGTCTTGGTTAGTAGGGGCTATTTTGAACTTTTCTTTTATCTTTTCATGCATCCCAAGTTTAACGATTTTATTCAATTGAGAACATGTACCGGCAAAAGTGTGGGTGTCTCTTCAAAGGTAGTGCCCATTTTTTCCACATTCGCCACGTGTCTAGGGCATTTAATGCGATGTACACGCATTAATTGTATCCTATAAATGTGATATGCAGCATCCGAAATCCTTATAAATAGACCCCTTCATCTGCACTCTTTACCTTGGTGGTTGAATATCTTCTTCCTTGTTCGGTGTTCTCATTTTAGAGTTCATTTCCTTCAACTTTCACATTTTCTGTCCATGGTGCGAACACCTACTTCCTATCACAACTCTCAAAGGTAGATTTTCTCCTACGTCGAGGCTAGTGGGATTGACATCGAGGAATTTTGAGTGATTTCTAGTCATTATGCATTTCCTACTAGGGTGATTGTTCATGTTATTGGGTGTCATTCGTATCATCAGGGTCCTTAGAGAGCTGGGTTTAGTTTTTTGAAGTCCTCTTTCAGTTTGGCCTTCGGTTTCGCTTTCCTCCTTCTGCAACGGAGGTTCTGCATTCCTTTAGTCTTTGTCTGGCTATTCTGCTGTCAGTAGGGTGGGCAATTTTGTTGGCATTCCCTGTGCTGTAGGAGCGTTTGTTCATGCGACCTCGCGTCACCCTGGCAGAGTTCCTTAATTTCTTTTGTCATGTGGAGGTGTTTGAGTTCTACTATTTCACCCCGAGACGGGGGGAGAAATTCCCATTTTTGACCTCCCTCTTGAGCCCGAAGGATGGAGGATGAGGTATTTTTTTGTGTTTGGAACAGGTTAGGAGTTTGCCCCCTAAATGATGTCACTAGTCAGGGTTCTCACGATCTAGGGGAGACATGGTCATCTTGGTGAGGTCCCCTGTGTCGGTGAGTTTTCTTCTACCGACTTGCTTCTTCTGTGCTTCTAGGGTTCTAACTTTGTCTATTTTTCCTTCGTTTTTGTAGGTGAATATCCGAGCTTAACTGGGGAGACGTAAGCTAAGGTTGACCAGGTTAGAGCCATGTTGTCCATTTCGTATTCTGAGCTGATGCATCCTGAGCTGGCCGTAGTCCTAAGTAGTTGTAAGGGTCTGTCGTCTTTTTAAGGTTATATCATCTCTTTCCGGTGAATTTTTCCAACTCATCCTTTGACTAATTTACCTGCCCAATTCCAATATACTTGATCAACGAGAAGGACGTAATCGTAGAGCAGGTGGAACAGATGAAGCTGGCACGAGCTCCAAGATCTCCTACGAAGAACGCAAGGCTCTCTGAGGACAGCTCATCACCGGTGATAGCGACAATGACAGAGCCAGCACCGAGCTCCCCTATTGTGCCCGAGGTTCCCCTTAGTGCTAACGTAGCCTGGCGAGAATTATGACCAATAATCCTGAAGAGGGGCCAATTCAACGTGGTTCTCTTCCTGTTGGCATGGAGGGGCATAGCTCGAATCGCCTTGATTTGGCCTCGATCATGGGTCCTAGGGAAAATCTTCTAGATGATTCGGCTATAAGCAACCAGGCCCTCATGGAGCTGATCCCTTAGGTTGATCTCCGTAGGACCCGAAATGTCTTGCATGCGCTTCTTGAAATGATGTTTATTGTCTTTATTTGTCTCCAAGCTTTTTCGTTTTAGTTATGCAATGGCTTATCTTTTTGTCTCATCTTTAGGCTGCGACGCATGTTCGTATGTTGGGAGGGGAGATCCACCACCTGAAAATGAAAGCTTGCAAGAAAGATGCCAAGTTTGTTGAGCTTCTTCATTGGGGCTTGGAAATGGAGTCCGAGCTGGAGACGACTTTTGAACGGAGGGCCTAGGTTTTCAGGCAGTTGATCATCGCTAACACCTTAAAGATCTATTTTTGAGAATAGCTAACGGATCAATCAAAAGAATTGGTCTCCTTGCGACAAAAGTTCGATGTTCAATCTAATGAGTTGATCAATTGTTAGACCGATAACATGGAATTGACTACCCAGGTGGGTGAATCTCGCGTAACTATCGCCAATTCGGAGAACTCTTGGAGTGCTGAGCGCCGGTTGGTTGAGAAACAGCGTAAGGAGATCGAGAAAACAATGAGGGAGGCCATAAAGGCCTTTGTAGACGGGTTTTTAAATTTCGAGGATCAAGCACTTGAAAAATTCCTTGACCTTAGCCTTGATGAATTTGAACCTTGGTTCAACCCTCCTCCTGGTGGTTCTTTTGTAGGAGGTGGTGCTGCTCTATCATCTATCCACCCTAAAACTTCTTGCTTGTCAATTTTTTTTTCTTTTTGCATGTATTTTTTGGAATGTAAAGTATAATCCTTTTTATTTACTGGAATAAAAAACACTTTAACTCTCTCCTGGTGTTGTTGGTTATACGTTCTGCTCATCCCTTGCCCCTTACTCCATGGAAATTTTGACCTGGTTGGAATGTAGTTTTGAGAATTTGTTTAGATTTGCGATTCATAATGTGGTAACGTCTCGAGCTGCCTGATATTGTGGATTACAGGCTGCATAGTTGTTGTTCTGCCTCCCTATGCTCGGCCCGTATAGTCCCGAGGTGCGTGAGCTCAAGCTATAAGGGTCTAAGCTTTTTTCCCTTTTGCTAGCCCTGCTCAACTAATCTTCTTGCTTGTGTCATACGCTCTTAGATTGAGACGTATCGATCCAAGTGAGAAAGTAATAATTACGTCGTTATTCGTGCCCACTTAACTTTATTTGATGTCGCCTTTATTAACTTCTGTCATGAAGCCTCTTCATTACAAAAATATAATTGTTGCCTTTTAGCTTCCATGGGTTATCTATTTAACGATGTTTAAAAACCTTCCACTTTTTGCATTCTTATCTTTCCTTGGAGCTTTTCTTGAGTGTTTATTTTGAGTTTCCATGACTTCCTCTTCTAGTCCTCTATTCAAGCAACGTGCTCTGGTCTGTTATTGATTCTGAGGTGGTGGAGGTTAGGAGGCGATACCTTCTCCCAGCTAACTTAACCATTCGGGTTCCTACCCTCGACGAACCTTGCGACCTTCTTCTTCAGAAGGAGGTTTGCATTTTTGAGAGTGCATTTAAGATGGGCCTCCGCTTGCCTATTCACTTATTCATAGGGCGAATTTTTGCCTTCTTTGGGCTTTACCCTTCGCGTCTTTCACTAGAAGGATGAGGTACTCTTGTGAGCTTCTTCGTTTTCTAGTGTTTGCAAGGCCACAATCACTTTCCTACAGTTTTTGAGTTCTTTTATTTTTTTTAATTTTAACTTTGACATATCCTCCTACTATCGTCGCTTTACATGGAGGTGTCATGTTCCAACGTTGGTTCTTGATGCTCCTAGTTCTCCTGAGGAGTGGTTGCAGTGCTTCTTTTTTCATTTTTGGGGATTTTTGGGAGTCTACTGAGGTGTGGTCTGAGCGTTCTCAGGTTCCTTGCTCCTGGGGGCGCATCTTTGACAAAGGGAAGGAAACATTTGTTTTGCTTCTTTTGAAATGAAGAGTGTTCCTGCTTAGGGACTTAACAACTTTTGTGTTAGTGCAAATGGTTCCGGGCTAACTCCGGAGGAGATTGTCAGGTCTGTCGACTTACTTATGCTGAGGCAACTCCCTTTTCTACTCTTGTTATAGTTTAGAACCTCTTTTGGTTCGAGATTGGTCCCGACCTGACTGTTATTCCTGTTGTTATCCTAGTTCTTCCCTCTCTTGTCGTCAATGCGAAATTTTCTCGAGTTGGCTCAGAGGATGACATTGCCATGTCCACGAGGAAGAAGAATTGAAAACAAGCTTCTTCTCTGCCGCTGTCTAATTTTTCATTTGGTGATATGAGGTTTACGGCTGGCGAGCTGGGGCTAGCATTGGGGAATGTGAGATTGAAAAAATAACTTTTTGAGGCTGAGAAGGAGTGGGATGAGCTGAAGGCTGAGAATGCTCGATTACGACCAGCCAATGTGTAGCTGGTGAAAGAGGTCTTAGAATTGAAGGAGAAGATTGAAAATAGTGATGACAGTGGACCAAAACGGGGGGCAGGAGGTGTAGTCTTCATCTCCGTACCTGTTTAAAAAAACTTTGTCTATCTCTGGTTCACTTCCGTTAATGGGTATAATTTTTATATCTATTCCCGTCCGCAGGTGAATTTGTATTCCACCTTACCCGCCCTAGCCCAAGCCCAAGTCCAAGCCAACATAATGTAGAATTCTAAGTAAATCTAACATTTTAAATAATCTAACATAATTATAGAATATCATATCATAATTAAAAACTTGTCATCTACAACATAATTCAACATAATATAATTAAAAACCTGTCTCCCATGTAAATCCAACGCAACATCATGTAAGACAACATAAAGTAACATTACATAATAATAATAATAATAATAACGCATAAAGCAAAGCGGGGCGAAGGTAAGTGTCAGTCCATAGCTGCCTTCATCTTCACACAAAATTGTACGAATATCCCCGTATATGTTCACCGTTCAATACGTATGGCCCAAACGGAACGAGTTTAGACAAATACCCATATTTACCCGATTCACTGCCATCCCTAATTGGAAAGTCCTGAGCTTGTTTCTTTGTTTCTTGTAATTTTAAGTTCTTTCAAATATAATGTGAACTCTTCTTTTAATTTCTTGTTTTACTTTGTTTGTCGTTGTCCTAACCTGGAGGGTTGTTCAGCTCGAAATCCTATTTGACTGAGACCCTTCAAGGGGTTGGAAATTCGTTGGAGACTGTTGAGCCGAGCTGAGAAGCCTAATTAGGTCGCGTGGCTGAAGAACTTGCGACTTTTGGGGAGTTGAAGAACTCTTTAGCGGCTTAAAAGCCGAGTTAAGAGACCCTCAGGCTAAAAAGCCTGGGCCAACTTTAGAGAGTTAAAGAACTCTTTAGCGGCTGAAAAGTTGAGCTGAAAGGCTCTCAGACTGAAAAGCCTAGGCCAGATCGCGCGGCTAAAGAGCTCGTGGCTTTAGAGAGTTGAAGAACTCCTCGAATCATACGTTGTACAAGTGTGCTAGCTAGAATTTCAAATTTCATTGATTGGGGATTGAAAGTTTACAATTGACTTTCTCTCTTCACATTATCTAGTGGCCCATGATCTTACTAGTAATATCGTTTCAAATGATCTACATTCTAGGAATGTTGCGGGTCTTTTCCTTCTCTAGTTTGTAGCTTGTAATTTCTAGTTCAAATCACCCTCTTGATTATGCATGACCCTTTCCAGTTCGGACCAAATTTTCCATGCATAGGGTCTTTTCTTATCGGGAATAGTTTCTTGAAGACCAGATCGCTCGACTTGAAGCTCCTCTTCCTCACTCGCCGATTGTAATACCTTGTGTGTTCATTTGATAAGAGAATATTCGTTGCAGTGCTTGATCTCTTTTCTCGTCCAAGAGATCGAGATTGACGAGCAGGGACCTTTCATTCTGCCCAAGGTCGAAGAGCTTGGTTCTTACTGAAGGAAGCCTTACTTCAACCGGGGCCACAACATCAGTCCCATAGGTAAGGCTAAAAAAGGTCTCACTAGTTGTTATTTGCACGTTAGTTTGGTAAGCCCACAACTCTATCGAGAGGTGATCAACCCACTGAGATTTTGAGATTTTTAGTCTCATCTTTAATGCTAGTTTGATAGTTCTAATGGTGACTTTCGTCTGCCCATTCGACTGCGGGTGCGCGAGTGCCGAGAAATAATTTTTGATTCCTAACTCTGTGCAGAAACCTGTGAATCTTGGATTGTCAAACTGCTTTCTATTATTTGAAACTACTGCTCTTGGGATGCCGAAACAGCAAATTATCGATTTTGAAACAAAATCTTGACTTTTTGCTCAATTATCTTAGCCAATGTCTCAGTCTCCGCCCATTTGGTAAAGTAGTTCACAACGACTATGGCGAATTTACATTGCCCAACGCCAATTGGTAGGGACCCCAGAATGTCCAGCACCCACTGCTGGAATGGCCAAATGCTGACAATTGACGTGAACTACTTAGGGGGAGAATGAGGCAGGTTCCTATGGATCTGGCACGCTTGACATTTCTTCAACATCTCTTCACATCTTTCGTTATTGTGGGCCAGAAATACCCCTACCGGAGTGCCTTGTTGGCCAAGGTTCGTGCACCGATGTGACTCCCACAGATGTCTTCATGAATCTCTATCAGGATGTAATATGCTTCCAACTCAATTACACATTTCATCAACAAAAAAGAAAAATGTCATTTGTACAACTTACCTTGTACCATGGTGAATCTTGCAGATTTGCTCTTTAACTTTTGTTACGTTCTTTTTGTCATGTGGGAGGTGTCCATCTTGTAGAAAGGAAATGATTAAGTCCATCCATGAGGTGGTTGCATCAACTAGCATTGCTTGATCATTCGTCTATGGGAAATTTGTTATACCCAGTTGTAGAACAATTACCATGTGATGCCCAGTGGGGGCTTTATGAATGCTTGAGTTAATGGGGAAGCGAGTGTTGATATTGGATCAAAGAATAAAATACAAGTGATTCATCTCAGCTGAAAGACCTAAGACTACGTTCACTGTAATGGAGACTCTTGCTTCTTGAAGGTTGAATTACTCGAAGAAGACAATGGGTACAATGGATTTTTTGGCTAAGAGCCTTTTTTACACAGTATTCTATAATTAAAATTTTGAAAATCCTTTTACAGTGTTTTCTTCTTCTATTTATACATGTAGCCATTTAGGATTTCTACAATTCTTCTTTTTTTTAGCTAATTATGTGGTCTCATCTTCATTTGTCCTGTAGTGGAGTTTGTCATCTTCATGGAGTTTGTCACCTTGATGTGTTTTGTGCCCACAATCCTAAAAACGGAATGTATCAAAAAATATTTCCTTTATCAAAGAATATTTGTTCGTTATGGTCATCAGATGTTGTCCCCTTGACACGTGCGTGACAGGAGCTGCTTGTGATCTATCCTATACCAAGTTCCTAGTTCTTGAGCTCGTCCATTATGTCTTGCTTGAGATGACCGAGCAGACATATGCGGAGTTGGATGGCCCAAAACTTCATGGCTTGAGTTGTGGCCCATTTTCATGATAAATATTCTTACTTATCCCACCATAAACAACTCAAAACTTTAAGTTGAGGTGAAATCGGTAATTGAGGAAAACTTAAAAATTCCTATTTCAGTCCAAACAAAAGATACACTCAGAGATGTGCTGTCTTATCTATCATTTGAAGATAACACGATGTTGTCAGGGGAGTTCAGTCCATCGTATTTTTCAATCCAAGAGATGTGCAGTCATTTGGCGTAGAGATTTCAATTAGAAACAATATATAACGACTGAACTTAATAGTGAAAATGATACATGTTTGGCATGTATATAATGGATTAATTTAGTATTTTGATATTAAAAAATTTAATAGGATGACGTTGAATTTTTTGAGGGCACTGAAGTCATTTCATAAATTGAGTATCGAATTACTTGGGAACCTACGAAATTGAAACAGGCAAGTGTGCAACTGCAATGTCAAAGACTTGATGCTTGTTATCACTTGTGCAGCAAAAGATAGATAACGAAGTCATTGCTATTTACTTCAAAATTTAGACACAAAGTTCGTAATGCTTCAACTTGTCAGGGGTAGGATCCTACGAGGAATACGCCTATTATACCCACACCAAAGAAAAAAAAATAGTATATTATACTAAAAGATAATTTAGTCATAGATTATTATTCATTTGCAGTGATTAATAATAATGTAAATCATAATAAAATAAAACTTTGTAAGTGGTTATAGAATAAAATGTACAATAGAAATATGAACGGATTAATTTAATATAAATAAAAATTTTATTTGGAATTATATAGGCAAATGAAAAAAAGTAACCAGATTATCTAGGTATACAAGCATTCACGAGATTCACCCCAATCCCAGTCCCTGTCCACTGGGGACCACAACTCGCTTATCTCAAGTCTAACAATGCCCCGCAACGAAATTAAAAAGGCCAATTCGTAGTATTCCTGGACAGATGACAACAGCTTAATCGCCGTGAACTAACAGCGTCAAGGTAACGGAGCCCCTCCCCGTTAACTCACTCGAGTCTCTGGTGACCAACAGATACGAGAAGCAAACTCATCAAAGTAAGATATTATCGCCTAACGAGGCACAACATAACTTATCGCCCTCTCCCTTACCCGGTCAGAATAACCCTTTACTTAACCGCATTTTCAAACCAAACTTGCGTGAATCACGACGACTTAAAGGCCTGAACATTATATCTATCATGCAAAAGATGAGAGAGGGAAGAGAGGAGAGGATCAAACACTAAGCCGGTTACTGCCACCTGTTCGTTAAAGCTAAACCAAGTTTTAACATCCAAAAATCACCAACATAAAAACGCATCAACACTGAACCTTCTTATAGTCTATTTATTATCAACTACTGGCTAGTTATGAAAAAAGTTTTCAGATACCAGTGCATTAGAATTTGATCAGCGGCTGTTAGGCTTCCACGTCATCTGGATTCTTTGCGGGATTGCAAATCAGCCAAACGAAGCCGTAGGGGTCCTTAAGTTTGACCACGCGCCCTGTACAGCACGTACCATAAACCTCAGCGGTTTCACCCTCGGAAACAGCACCGGCCTTCACGGCTTTTGCCACAGCAGCTTCAACGTCCTCGGTCTCCAGGCAAATCACGCATCCGTTTCCCACAGTCTTCACCCTGGACCAAACACAGCCAAGACGTTGAGATTTAACTAACCAAAAATTCGAAATCGCAACGGAAAAATAACCAGAACAAAAAGTACGGGTTCATTTAAAAACAGGAATAAAATCGTGAAAATAAGGCATTCACTATAACCATAAACAACCATCAACAAACATTCGAACAATATGAAAAGGAGAGCTAATAATGTTAAAAGATAAACGAAAAAAAAACCTACAATCTGAGAGAAACAGTCAAGAATCGACCGATTACGAGTATCTTCTATCGAAAATCGACGCAAACTAAAGCGAGACGAAACCAACAAAACAAAATTACAGAAAATATCAATAAAGAGCCAGAAAAGCTCTGCTAGGGAAAAGCGACCGAATAAACGAAAATAAACTTCAAATATCGAGTAGAAAATTACACAAACTCAAAAGGTCACGTTCACACCTATTATCGGCAGCAATACAATATCAAAACCAAAAGGCACAATCAACTTGTCAAACAGAGAAAATGAGGAGCATAAAAAGCCTTCTCACGCCTATAACACAACAATGAAACCAATCGGATACAGCCCTAAATATGACGAGGTAAAACTGTTTTCTGCATCTATAATCACATAGATCTTAAGAAAACCAAAACTAAAAGAGCATCAACCAGAAACATAGCGGGAAGAACTAAAAGAACGACTTACAGAGCAGAAGAGTCATCAGTTAGGTCAGAGACGAGAATGGAGTAGGAACCGAGCTTGAGTTCAGCAGAGAGAACCAGAGGGAGCTCCTGATCGGCCTTCCTCTTCGGGTGCACAACGCGGTTCACCTCCTCGGCTCCGAACGCTTCCTTGTAGAACTGTACAGCATCGTTGGCCTTCGACTCCTCCACGAACAGCTGAGGCGTCACAGCCGAGAACGTCACCGCCTTCGAGCCTCCGTTCGGATCCTCCTGTACCATTGCAAAGACTAGAGAGAGAGCGAGAGAGGCACATGCAGGGGAGAGAGAGGTGAGGAGAGACGGATAAATGTGAATGTAGACGGAGGACGTATGGGGGTATTTATCGGGGCGAGGCGGCGGAACAGTTTGTGCTTTACTTCAGGGATAAAACCGGTATTCGAAAATCGTGATGAGGAAGTTAGCCCTTAGTTTGTCATCTATTTACAAATGTACCGCATGTTGGTCCTTGTGGTGGACTAGCTATCCAGAGCACACTATGCGTGTGATTCTTTCTAGCATTCTCCGATTGTTGTAAGCGTTAAAAAATAAAAATAACAGAATTAAAAAGACATAAAAAGAATGTAGAAATATTAGGCTCATCCCAGTATAATACGGTCTAATGTAAATAGTTTTAAGAGAAATGTTAGTGATCGTTAAATTAATTTATTTAAAAATATCGGATAAGTTTATTAAAACTTATCTTATTTTATATTATAGATACGGATTATTGTATGTGTCTAAAGGCATTTTTGTGACAAAAAATCAATTAAAAAAATGAGTATTAGTAAAAGAAAAAAGTGATGCACATAATAATAATAATACGTATTTAGAACAGATGAATATATAAAAACAATAGATAAAATTACTTCAAAAAATTTAGCTCAAAAGTTTTGAACATGTACATAATTTATATATTTTATTATCATACCTTAAAAAAGTTATTACTAATTACATATTATTAATTGGCCCATGCAAAACACGTAGTAGCAAAACAAAAAAAAATTATCAATTAAAAGACATATCAAATAAAAAACACTTTTTGACATTGAGAAATATAACTTTTGATGGGTCAGGTCCAATGGCTCAATCCATATTATAAGCTCGACTTAAATTAATGATCCAATCCCAAGAGATCTAGAAAAATTCAGCTCAAATGAGGTTCAAGCCAGACAAACTCATCAGGGGGTTGCACTACTAAAGGAACATCCTGAATCCTATCACATACAACCTGGAGAAAGTCAACCTTTCCACATATCTTGACCAAGTCCTTTGGAGTGCATCATAATTTCCTTGCTAGTTGAGGAGAGGAGAGGTCGCCAAGGAGATGAGAAGTCGCCAAGAGATTGAATTACTATTAAACAGCCCCAATTATAACCGTCAAACTAGCTATCCAATTACTACGCACGAAACTATAAATTGTAAGCTCCACCAACACTTGAGAGGCATCTGAAAAAGAGTCAAGCTCATCTTCTCTCTCTCTTGTAATCCTTGCTCTCCCTACACCCTTGAGTTAATAAAGTTCTCGGTGAACCTAGCCATCGAAAGTGGACGTAGGTCTTGTTGACCGAACCACTATAAACCTTGTTTCCTCTTTCCCTCTATTTATTTTATTGCATTTTATACTATTACTTGACTAGTGGTGTGCAAACTAATTTGTGCATCATCATTTTGGCGTCGTCTGTGGGAAGGACATAATTCTCACCTAACCATTTTTCTTTGCTTAATCAAAGTCAATCACCACAAGAACTATGAGTCAGTAGGAAGACAGTCTACGAGAGGAGGAGGTTGCTCTTCCACCTCCTCCACCTGTTAATCCTGTCCCAAATGCACAACAGATGCGGGTCACGATGCAGCAGCTCATAGCCCAAAACCAGTAGACCCTACAATTGATGCTCGGGCAACAAGGAGGAGCACAGCCTGGACCTCAAGCCAGGGGAGCTCTACTCCCTGGTCATCAAGGAGCTCCTCACCTAGGCGCTCCCCACCTAGTCGCCCCTTTGGGCACCCCACCTTTGGGAGTTCCCTTGGGCGCCCTACACAGGGGGGGCCCACCGTGAGGGACCTCTTCCTCTAGCACCTGCTCCTGCTCCCCATGGTGGAGACCCTTCTCTCCTAGAGGATGAGGGGGACAATCAAAACATGGAGCACGGGAGCCATGTCCGTGATAATTTTAAAGGACCTCCTCCTAATCAATGGGACAAAAAAATTAAGGAGGTTCAAAATCAGTTAGGTGATGTCTTCAACGCCATGAAGGCGCAAGGCCCTGAGACAGTGGATTACCTCGTAATTCGAACTGACACACCTTTCAAACCCGATGTGGCGAACTACCCACTCCCTCAAAAATTCAAGATGTCATCCGTTGAGACCTTTGACGGTACGAAAGATCCTTTAGACCACCTTGAAACTTTTAAAACTTTGATGCAGCTACACAACGTCCCCGACGAAATCATGTGCAGAGCATTCCCAACCACCTTGAAAGGGTTCACTCGGCAATGGTTTGCCAAACTCTCCTTAGCCTCTATTGGCACATTTGCTAAACTGAGCAAGTCTTTTGTGTCACACTTCATTGGATGGCGCCGCCACCAGAAGCCTGCCACCCACCTGCTTAGTATAAAGCAGGAACGAGATAAGAGCCTAAGGAGCTACCTCACTCATTTTAACGAGGAGGTCCTTCAGGTTGAGGAGCCTGATGACAAGGTCAGCATGACTGCCTTCCTTGGAGGCCTTCGGTCGTCAAGCTTCGGTGATGAAACGCCCACCGAAGAGCATGCCAGAACTACTAGCGAAGACTCAAAAATATATGAATACTGAGGACATTACAAGGGCCAAGAGAGGTGAGTCATCCAAAGCTGGGGAAAAAAGAAAAGAAAGAGACAGGGAAGACAAGAAAGAGAATAATAACAAACGCAACAGCCAAACGGAGAGGGTACCAGCCAAAGTCCGACTCGGTCATGCTCCCCAGAGAGATTGACAGGCCTTCACTCCCCTCAATGCTGTTGTCGGGCACATCCTATTACAGATCCAGGTTGACCCCGCAATAAAGTGGCCTGGGAGGATGGAGTCTCCCCCAAACCGCAGGAACCCAAACAAATATTGTCGTTTTCATCGCGACCATGGCCATGACACCGATGATTGTTATGACCTCAAAAGACAGATTGAGGAGCTCATCCAACGATGTCACCTACGCCAATATGTTGCTGGTAGAGGGCAGGCGCCAGCACCACCCCGTAATCAGGAAGACCAATAGCCCGTCAGGGAGATTCACACCATCTCCGGAGGGCTAGCAGGGGGAGGAGAATCCCTCTCTGCTATAAAGGCTCATGCCAAGAGAGCTAGGCACCCCGGTAATTGTGCCCATCTAAGACTCTTAAGTTTGGCAATAGTGAAGTCATATCCTTTTTAGACAAGGATTTGGAAGAAATCCAGCACCCCCATAATAACCCTTTGGTGCTCTCCATGACCGTGGCCAACTTCCAGGTAAGAAGGATTCTCGTGGACAGCGGTAGCGTAGCGAATATCTTGTTCGTAGAGGCTTATGACAAGCTCAACTTCGGCATGGAGAGGCTGCAACCTATCAGGTCTCCCCTCATTGGGTTCTCGGGAGAGAAAATGTATCCCCTAGGGTCCATCACCTTACTTGTCACTGCTGGAGTAGAACCTCGAAGCTCTACGATCATGGTCAATTTCTTGGTGATAGGATGCCCTTCAGCCTACAACATCATTTTAGGGCGACCTGCTCTCAACACCTTAAGAGTTATGCCCTCCACCTATCATCTCCTTCTCCGTTTCTCCACCTCTAACGGAGTCGGAAATATCCGAGGGGACCAAGTAGCTGTGAGAGAATGCTACATCTCCTCCATGAGGACGAGAAAGCCACAGGAAGCGCTTCAAGTAGAGGTCCTCCACCTAAGGGATGATGTCATCATAGAAAGAGGAGAGCCCATCGAGAAGCTCACCCCAATGGTCTTAAATGAGGAACATCCAGATAGAAGGGTGTACATCGGTTCTTCCCTTTCTAAAGATTTGGTCCACCAATTAACAGAATTTCTGAGGCTTAACATGGACGTTTTTGCGTGGTCACATGTAGACCTCGAGGGCATTAACCCTGAGGTTGCCACACACCGCCTCAATGTCGACCCTCACCACAAGCCGGTTCGCCAAAAGTTAAGGGGTGCCTCCACTAAAAGGGCCCAAGCAATGGAAAAGGAGGTAGAAAAGTTAATAGAGAATGGGGCGGCCAGAGAAATAGCCTATCTTCAGTGGGTCTCCAATGTGGTGTTGGTAACTAAGGCTAATAGGAAGTGGCGCCTCTGCGTCTACTTTACTGAGCTTAACAAGGCATGCCCAAAGGATAGTTACCCACTACCACGAATAGACCTCCTCATTGATGCCACCGCAGGACATGAATTGCTCACTTTCCTGGATGCATATTCTGGGTATAACCAGATCAACATGTATCCCCCAGACCAGGAGAAGACATCGTTCATCACTCCAAGGGGGACCTACTGCTACAAGGTCATGCCCTTCGGGTTAAAAAACACAGGAGCAACTTATCAACGATTGGTAAATAAGACGTTCCAGTCGTAGATCCGAAAAACAATGGAGGTGTATGTGGAGGACATGCTAGTGAAGAGTCACACCGCGGCAGACCACATTAACCACCTCCACGAAACCTTCAATGTTCTCAGATTATACCGCATGAAGCTAAATCCGGAGAAGTGCGCCTTTGGCGTTGGGTCAAGAAAATTTCTCAATTTTATGGTTAACCAGAGGGGAATTGAGGCAAACCCCGACAAGATCAAGGTCATCCTTGATATGAAGTCGCCTTCCTCGACTAAGGAACTCCAGCGCCTCAATGGGAGAGTTTTAGCACTCAACAGGTTTGTTTCCAAGTCTGCAGACAAATGCTTGCCTTTCTTCAAGATTCTCCGAAAAACTTTCAAGTGGGAACTTGAGGTAGAGGAGGCCTTTCAAAGGCTCAAAAGCTTATCTGGCTAAGCCTCCTCTCTTGTCAAATGTTGTATTAGGAGAAATATTATACATATACCTCTCTGCTTCTCCCTCAGCAGTAAGCTCTGTCCTCATCAGGAACAATGATGGAGTACAAATGCCCATCTATTATGTGAGCAGAGCCTACCGAGGAGCAAAGATCAGATATTCGGGCCTGGAGAAGGTAGCGCTTGCCCTCGTCACAACAGCTAGGCGTCTTCGACATTATTTCCAGAGTCACACCATTGTTGTGATCACAAATCAGCCTCTAAAAAGAGTCTTAGGGAAACCAGATGTATCAGGGAGACTCCTCAAGTGGG